GAACGTGCACCTCCGGCACGCCCCAAAGGATTTTGCATCGACTGTGTAACCTGTTGCCATGAACCGTGAGTCAAGAGATGAAGATGTGTAATTGGTACTCCAGCAGAAAATGAATCGATATCCCCTGCGTACTTATATGCATCAATTACTCGATTGAGAAAATCACATTCTCGACTTCTGTCATTATTTTTAGCGAGCAGATGTCTGAAGCATGCACGGAGGACTATAGAGAAGCGATGGTCGAAACGAAATCCTGTCTGAGAAACAGTAGCACGGCTGGTCTTCTGACGCTAGTGAAAAAACTAACTGGCAGCATTAACACCGGCAAAGCCCAGAAGCTAATGGAACAATGCACCAAGGACTTGAATGGCTTCTACGACCACAACAAAGCAAAAGAAATGAAAGAATTCATGGGGTAAGCGCGGTTGATTTACTCCAAGTTGCACCACTTTCGTGATTTGACATGTTTTTGCCTCTTACAGTAAAATCGCCTCAGAAATTGCACCCCAAAGAAACGGAAACAGGGGAAAGCCGGAAGTGGCGATGGTTGCACTATTAGCACTAAAAGCCCTGCAGGAAGGAATACTTGCACCCATCGAGTCTCTGCAAGTCAGTTGTGACTAGAAACACCACGTATAAGTAGAGGATTGTACAAATAGCATAAGTTTCTTGTACTATATTTCATGTATGCTTGTTATGATAGTAAATTAATTTTCAGCATCACTGTCTCTGTCTCTACTGAAAGCCTGATACAGAATTTCATGGCTCGTTCCAGTCGGTGAAATTAAATGTTCACAGCTTGCACGTGAAGCACTGGTTGAAGATAACACAAATGAAATACATTTACCACTACTTTGTCCACCCCTTCCTTCGACTCCCTTCTTTCCTGCATAATTTGTTTGGAAAGTATGACAACAAGAAGGTACAACATGAATTATAGGCTGTTCCTTATTGCAAGATAGATTTGTTACTTTCTATGAATACGACTGATTTTATATGCAAGGTAAAGCAGAAAATTATCAAGCCTAGACTTGTTAGATTGTCTTTTCTCTAGTCTGATCTGATGCAAACGGATCACCAAAAAGATGGAATGAAAGTCGAATGATGCGTTCACAACGATGCCACCATGACTGTTGACTGAATTTCTCGGAAGAACCTCAAAAATCAGTACTATTGGCATTCAAACTTCGCCCTTAAAATGGGCAAGGATAAAAAGTACAAAATACCGGTTGTTTGACTGTTTTCATGAGAAAGCGTGTGATGGCAAGATTACTAGAATGCTGTACTTGGAATGCAGAATCAAGAAGAACATGGAAGTGCTCTTGGACAAACCACTGCCTGCATTAATAATTACTATTGCATTATTATTAATAACTTTTCATTCCGATATCTTTAGTGAGTTAGTAACCTCACGATGCTTCGAAGCAGCCAGATAAGGAACACATAACCGGTCGGTGAATTGCGAACACCATGGCCAGCATAGTCATGGCGGGATACGCCACTGTCGAATGCGTATGCCTTCCAACTGCAATTCACCTTGACCCATTTAATTATTGAGCCAGATTTCTTTGAAAGGTGGTTGAACCACCTTGTGAATGCAACCCGCACATCGCATAGGCGTAGCAAATATCGCTCGATGCAGGAAAATTGCGACGGATCCGCTCATTCGCAGCCACAAGAGCCTGACTGACATAATAAATCTGTGATACTATGCTCTTTTAACTTTATCAGTTTCAGATGACGATAACAAAATAAACGACCACAATAGCAACTCGATAGCGGACTAAAAGTTAAAAAGGGCTTACTTACACTAAAAAATATATACATCATCAGCCCTTGCGGCCAGTCGCTATATCTTCGACCTAACTTCTCGCTTTCTGTCAGAGGAATTCAGGAAATTCCGCATAAGGCATATTGTTTTCTAGTGACTTGATTTGTGAATTCTTTATGATTTTGGAATGAAAGTGTCTAAATACATTATTTTTAAATAAGCCATGCCCCCTACTGTTTCAACTTTAATACCAAATATAATTCGCCCGAAGTTGGTGTCTGTACTACGTGTTGTAGCTTATCCCTGCTGCTAGATGCCTAAGAGGTCACTTAAGCAGGTCACGACTACACGCTATTTGAACAGCATTGCATGTCTCAAATCATTCATATTGCTGGGCGTCAGTAATGTTTCTCGAGTTTGCACGAATTATGCTTTTGAAATAAATGGAGAATTTTCATTTACATGCCGGAATATAATAATCAATCATTGACCTTATCAATCTAATGTTATGAATGGGTACTATATTATACCACATTTTTGATTTCTTTGTACAGTAGATTACTAGGTTGAACTTCATATATTTCGTAAATTACCTCATACTTTCTAAACAGGAATGAGTTCTGCATATGTTAATAATAATTAACAATGCCTAAAGTAAATTTAATGATCAATTTATCTATACAAATACTTAGCCAGTCTTCCTAATTATGAATGAAACAAGTACACAGTACTAGATATAGTGCACACTACATGTACGAGGTATACGTTTAAAACTTTACACTTTTAATAAGAATTGTTATTGTCAAAGATGACAGTGGTAGGGGTAAACCGTCATTAGATTTACTTCTGCAACAAATATCTTGATGATATCTTCGACACCATAACGAAGAACATATTCAGCATACAAAGGATGTGTACAGCTGTACTTCAAAAGGAGGCAACGCGAGATTACGGAATTAAAGACGAGCATTAAGTCACAATAATAATGCAAAAAATTTTATTCAAACATTTCAGTCAATGCGAATATCAACGAGACGGATCACTGATTATTTGGTTGAGGAGGACGGAAGGAGGCAGGAGTGAAAAACATCCTCGCATTGTCAAGACGATTCTGGATGTTAAGATTAGACGCAGTGCCCGATGCAGCTGAGTTCACATTGCCGTGCGGGGACGAAACAGGATAAGGAGTGAAGCTAGGAGAAATATGCACTGAGGCTTTCTGGGTGAAGCCGGTAGCAAATCTTCGATTTTCATCAGCAATCGGGTAAATCTGATGTTGAGATGGAGGGACCTGCATACGATTTGACACTGGTATGCGCTGACCGTCATAAGTGAAGACGTTCTGAACTCCAAACCTTTGAAACTGCTGAGGTCGCATGTACGGAGGACGG